CATAATTGGTCGCATTGGGAGATGATCGTTAAGCGGGGGTCCACTGTATATATATATACATATATCCTAGGTAGTAGGTTGGTAGACAGCAACCGCCAAGGGAGGTACTACCGTCCTGCCAAGTGAGTGTAAAACGAAAGCCTGTAATTGTTTTCCATGATGGTAGGATTGCTGGTGTCCTTTTTTGTCTCTTAAACATGCAAGATTTCAGGTACGTCTTGCTACTTCTACTTACACTTAGGTTACACTACACATACATGTACAAGCATATACAGTGGACCCCCGGTTAACGATATTTTTTCATTCCAGAAGTATGTTCAAGTGCCAGTACTGACCGAATTTGTTCCCATAAGGAATATTGTGAAGTAGATTAGTCCATTTCAGACCTACAAACATACACGTACAAACGCACTTACATAAATACACTTACATAACTGGTCGCATTGGGAGGAGATCGTTAAGCGGGGGTCCATTGTATATGTATATATACACATCCCTCTGGGTTTTCTTCTATTTTCTTTCTAGTTCTTGTTCTTGTTTATTTCCTCTTATCTCTATGGGGAAGTGGAACAAAACTCTTCCTCCGTAAGCCATGCGTGTTGTAAGAGGCGACTAAAATGCCGGGAGCAAGGGGCTAGAAACCCCTTCTCCTATATATATTACTAAATGTAAAAGGAGAAGCTTTCGTTTTTCCTTTTGGGCCACCCCGCCTCGGTAGGATATGGCCGGTGTGTTGAAAGAAAGAATAATATATGTATCCTAGGTAGTAGGTTGGTAGACAGCAACCACTCATGGAGGTACTACCATCCTGCCAAGTGAGTGTAAAACGGAATCCTGTAATTGTTTTACATGTTGGTAGGATTGCTGTATCCTTTTTTCTGTCTCATAAACATGCAAGATTTCAGGTACGTCTTGCTACTTCTACTTACACTTAGGTCACACTACACATACATGTACAAGCATATATATACACATCCCTCTGGGCTTTCTTCTATTTTCTTTCTAGTTCTTGTTTATTTCCTCTTATCTCCATGGGGAAGTGGAACAGAATTCTTCCTCCGTAAGCCATGTGTGTTGTAGGAGGCGACTAAAATGCCTAGTAACTCCTTCTCCTGTATAAATTACTAAATTTAAAAAGAGAAACTTTCGTTTTTCTTTTTGGGCCGCCCCGCCTCAGTGGGATACGGCCGGTGTGTTGAAAGAAAGAAGAAGATATATACAGTATATATATACATATATGCACACACACACACACATACCGTAGACGCTTGGGTAATGCCTTTAATCCGTTCCAGAGAGCTAGCCTTTAACCGATTTAGCCTTTAGCCGAATTAATTTTCCCCATAAGAAATAATGGAAATCCAATTAATCCATTCCAGACACCCAAAAGTATTAAACAAAATAATGTTTTTACAGAAAACAATGATACATGCACAATAAACAATAGTGAAATGACATTTATCTTTATTGTGGACTTGTTGATGAGTGATGAGACGGGAGGAAGGGAGAGAATGAAGGTGTTCTGTTGTTTGGAAGGGGAATCCCCTTCCATAAAGACTTCAGGTAACAAGTCCTTTTCTGGGGTTACCTCCCTTCTTGGTTTTTTAATGCCACTATGACCAGCTTGAGAGTCACTGGACTCCTGTCGCACAAAATATCTGTCCACAGAGCTCTGTTTCTCGCGTCCCTTTAAGATTTCCTTAAAATAGGACACAAGAGTGTCATTGTACATGTTGCCAATACGGCTCGCAACAGCTATTTCAGGATATTATTCATCCATAAATGCTTGCAACTTTGTCCACATTGCACACATTTTCTTAATCTTTGACAAAGGCAACTTCCTCTGTCTCTCTTTCTCCTCCTCCTCTGAAGCAAATTCCTGAGCTGTGATCTGTTGCTGTTGCACCTGAAGCTCTTGCAGCTCTGTAGTGATTAGCTCTTCATTGTCATCCCCCACCAACGCTTCCACATCCTCTCCACTAACCTCCAACCCCATGGACTTCCCCAATGCCACAGTAGATTCCACAACTGGCATAGTCTCCTGAGGGTTAGCCCCAAACCCTTCAAAATCCCTCTCTTGTTCACATTGTGGCCACAATTTTCTCCAAGCAGAGTTCAAAGTCCTGCAAGTCACTCCCTCTCAAGCCTTACCTACAAGGTTTATGCAATTGAGGATATTGAAGTAATCTTTCCAGAACTCTCTTAGGGTCAATTCATTGTCTGAGTTCACTTCAAAGCACTTTTGAAACACTGCTTTGGTGTACAATTTTTTTGAGTTTGAAATGACCTGCTGGTCCATGGGCTGGAGGAGAGGAGTGGTATTAGGAGGCAAAATCTTCACTTTGATAAAGCTCAACTCCCCGCAATTTGCTCTTGCAAGTCGTGAGGATGAGTAGGAGCATTGTCCATTACCAGGAGGCATTTGAGTGACAATTTATTTTCCAGGAGGTACTTTTTCACAGTGGGGCCAAACATGTCATAGAACCAGTCCAGGAAAATGTCCCTAGTTACCCATGCCTTACTGTTTGCTCTCCACATCACACACAATTTAGTCTTGATGACATTTTTTTTCTTGAACACTGGGAGTTTCAGAGTGATACACCAGTAAAGGCTTCACTTTATAATCCCCACTAGCATTACTACAAAACATTAGAGTTAGCCTGTCTTTCATAGGCTAACTCTAATGTCTAGTGTCCTGGGAATGCCTTTTCCTCCTGAGTAATGTAGGTCCTGTTTGGCATTTTCTTCCAAAACAGGCCTGTTTCGTCACAATTGAACACTTGTTGGGGTTTTAATTTTTCAGTGTCTATGTACTCCTTAAAGTCCTGCACATATTTTTCAGCTGCTTTTTTGTCAGAACTGGCAGCCTCACCATGCCTTATCACAATGTGTATACCACTATGATTCTTAAATCTCTCAAACCAGCCTTTGCTGGCCTTAAATTCATCAATAGCAGCACTATTTGGAGACATTTTCTTAATGAGATTCGCATGCAACTGCCTTGCCTCTTCACATATTGACTGAGAAACACTATCTCCTGATAATTGTTTCTCGTTTATCTACACCAACAACAGTCCCTCCACATCTTCAAGTACAGTGGACCCCCGGTTAATGATATTTTTTCATTCCAGAAGTATGTTCAGGTGCCAGTACTGACCGAATTTGTTCCCATAAGGAATATTGTGAAGTAGATTAGCCCATTTCAGACCCCCAAACATACACGTACAAACGCACTTACATAAATACACTTACATAATTGGTCGCATAGGAAGGTGATCGTTAAGCGGGGGTCCACTGTATTTGCGATCTCTGTTTTGTAAGCATACTTGCACCTTTCGCAACAACGGCTTCCCTAATTGCCTTTTTGTTGGCTAAGATAGTAGTGATGGTTGAATGGGGTTTGTTATATAACCTTTCCAACTCCGAGATACGCACTCCATTCTCGTACTTTGCAATTATCTCTTTTTTTAATTCAATAGTATTTCTCACCCTTTTTACCACAAGGTTGGCACTAAAGCTTTCTTGGGGCCCATGGTGGCTTATTTAGCAGTTACAAGAACTAAAAACAATGGAATACAAAATATATCGCATGTATGCGTGGAATCATCCTCATTGACTTTATAAACAGTGGCATACTGGCTGTACAAGGAGTATGGAGTGGCCAGGCCTGCTCAGGCCGCCCGGACACGTTCAGGACAAAAGCCCTTAACTGAGTTATTTGGAGCTAGCAGAGCCAATATTTTTACGGCAAAACGAGCCGTTATCCGATTTTGGCGCTAACCAGTGACGCCTTTACCCGAGGGTCCACTGTATATACATATATATATATATATTTTTTTTTGGGGGGGGGGGGGGGGAAGGGTTACCATACCTTGGTGGGAGATGGACTGTGTTAAAAATTTTAATAAAAAGCTAACTCATGCAATATGTAACATGTATTTTTTAACACATCGGCCATTCCCACAGAGGCAAGGTGATACAAAAAAGAAACACTTTCAACATCATTCAACGCACTCACCATCATTTACACATAATCACTGTCTATGCAGAGGTGCCCAAATACGATAGTTTAGATGTCACTCCAAACAGCCAATATCCCAAACCCCTCCTTTAAAGTGCAGGCATTGTATGTCCCACCTTGTGGGTTTAGGACTTGAGTCCTAAACCCACAAGGGTCATACAGTGTTGCTCCTATATAAGGTGCCCCCCTTCCTCTAATGTACATAATGCTGATTAGGACTCCAGTTAGGAGTCGACGTATACAGTTTCTTGTCAATTGCTGTTGCCCTGTCTACATGTGCGATGACCTTCAACATCCACAAGTGTTCACTACACTTTTATCATCATCGCAGTTGAGTACTATACACAAATATGAGCAATGTTATATTCAATGCACTATGTAAGTATGCAAAGGAAAGGCTGTAGAATAAAGATAATTTTAAATTAAGAAAAGATGAATTAAAACCCAATCAACAATGTCAGGAAAATAATTTAGGAAGATGTCCCATTTTTCTGATCAACTCACATATATAATTATTAATGGGTTATTTTAAAAGGCATTTGGAGGAAGAGACAAAAGAAGAAAGGAAACTACATGAGTGGAGCAAATTAATATCTGTCAGGTATGTGGCTGTAACAATGACTGGATATTGTAATGAAATGTAAGAGGTTTAAATGCATCAAGACTGAAAAAATTATTATAATAACTCTGTATACTATCAGCAGTAAGAGGAAACAAAATACTAAAAATATAAAGTAAACCCTTGATTTAATGAATCTCATTTTAATGGACTTCAGGCATATGGGATAAAATTCGGAGAGTTAACTGTCTCAGAAACAAGCAATATTGTAACAATAATAGAATTTTCTGTTAATGTTACAATCACAGCAAGCCAGTCTCATCTCTATCCATCACAAATGCCATTACTGACCACTACTCACCCCCTCCCATTAATCTATTAAATCAAAGTTTTACTGTGACAGGACATTTCTCTAGACACCTGAGGCACTGGTTGCTTCCCTCGATGACCAAATGTCGAACCTGAGAGATAAAGTCGACCACATGGCTGAAATCTGTCTCTTGTTCTGATGCCACATTGGTAGGAAGAGGATTCTTGAGCCGGTAAGAGATGGCATGTAACTGTGGAGTATTTACAGTATAAACCTTACAAACAAACAAAAAGTTCTTCTAAAACTCTCTAATATTAACTAGTGGGAAAAAATAGAGCATAGATTTAAGTTTTCAAATATTTATACATCAAATAGAGTTAGTAATAATTTTCAAGGGGAACCCTAAACCAGCCGGAGTCATACAACACCTGGGAAATGGGAGGTAAACGGGTTTGATCCATGGAAAGGAAAGGTAGCTCTAATTTCTTTGATCAAGACCCCCTTCACTAGTATTTATAGCACCCCTTGAAGAAATCAAATGGGGTAATATCTTCAAAACTAATTTTTTTAAATTATACAGAAAAAGTTATCCAAAAATATAGTAAATTGAAATATAAAGGACATTACAAGAGCACTTGGCCATCTCATTGTTAAGTCACATTCTTTCAGTAAGTTGCTTTGTTGCCAGGCCTGATTTCAGTATGTATGTTGAATGAAATTCACTGCAAAGTCACTTGAAACTGGCTTTGCAACATTTAATTTTTAAATTACAGAACACAAATAAATGACTTCTACGGTGGCTTGGCCCATAACCAGCCAACAATTACCATTGTCATCACTGCCAAAAATGAAATAAGAAGTTTACACCAGATTTAGTGTGACCTATCAGCCATTCTCCACTTAAGACACAGTGACCCAAACTGAAAATATTAATTATAATAATTCTACTAAAGCAAGGGGCCAGTGATCCCGTCTGCATACATTACTAAATGTAAAAAGAAAAACTTCATAGAGTTTTCTTCTTCTCAAAGTCACCCTGCCTTGGTGGGAGACAGCCGGTATGTTGAAGAAAAAAAAAATCTATCAAGCAATAATGTCTCTTGATATACAGTAGGGCCCCACTTTACGGCGTTTTGCTTTACAATGTTCCGCTAATACGAACATTTCAAATTATGACCAAAACTCCCTATACAGCTCTCCCCCCACCTGACTTTCAAATATGGTCACCGCACCCCACCAGGTTTGTTTACATTCTCCATAAGCACCATGTCTCTCCTTCATGCCTGGAAACTCCAAAATTTGAGACCAAAATTATTTCTCTCTCTCTCTCTTTAATTAGAGCGAAACATCCCAACAAAACCCACTGTCGCCAGTACCGCTTTTGCATTCAGCTTATCCAGACAGTTTGTCACGTTTGGATAAATGGAACAGAATATTAATTAAACAGACAAGCTTGTAACTTCAGGCACACTCATCAAAGTGTTTTTAACCCTTTGAGGGTCGACAGGCCCTCTCCGAAACTCGTTCTCAGGGTCGGCCAAATTTAAAAAAAAAAAAAAATTATTTTCTCTTATGAAAAGATAGAGAATCTTTTCCCGATCATAACGACACCAAAAGTTTGAAATTTGATAGAAAACTTACGGAATTATGCTCTCGCAAAGTTAGCGGTCTCGGCGATGTTTACGCATCGGCGATTTTGCCCACTTTGAGCCCCATTTTCGGCCAATTTCACTGTACTAGTCGACAAAAAACATGAATATTTCGCTAGAACTCCATTTTTTCTATCGAATGGGTGCAAGAAACCACCATTTATAAATTCAACTATCCAGTACAGTGGTCAGATTTAGCAATTTTGCCAATTTCACACAAATTTCAAAAGATGCCAATTTCCGAATAGGGTCCAGAATAAACAAGAAAGACATTCCTGGCACTAAAATGACATTTCCTCTAGTCATTAGTCACGTCTCAAGGCCCCTCTTATATTCTTTGGCTTTCCACTTTGAATTTTTATTCTCACAAAAAATATAAGATTTACTGTTATGCAGACTACTGCATTAGTGTAAAAAATGGTATAAATATTATTGGTGCACTTGTGAAAGAATATTAGACTCACCAGTTGACGTGTATTGCACGCTTGGCACGATTTGTTTACTTTTGAAGTTTGGTGAAAATCGAACATTTCTGCTACTTTGAGCTCAATTTCAAGGCACCTTTCAATGTAAAACCAGTCAAAATCATCTCAATTTCAGTAATATGTCTTCCATTCTATAAAATGAGACCAGAAAACTAGAATACAAAATAAATACCATACGAAAATACACTGCAAAGTCGCTGATTTATTAAAAAAAAATGGTCAAAGTTTTTTTTTTCTCATTATGCACTGTGTGCTGCAGGATTTTTTTTAGACTGTGCACACTGACCACATAGACCCATTCTTTCATATGAAGGCCTACCAGCTTTCTCCCACTAGATTTGAGGCCGCTAGAATTTATGAGTACTAGTACGTCAAAAACCCCTACGCGTAAGACGTACTAGTACGACGAAAACCCTCAAAGGGTTAAAAGTTATTTCATATTTTATATATACAGTGGTCCCTCGATAATCGTAGGGCTCAAGAGTCGCATATTTCGGAAATCATACCGATATTTTCGTATAAACATGGGCTTGCTAATCGTAGACTGACTCGCGAATAGTAGTTCGTCCGGGATGCGTATGCACGCTGTGAGCCGGGGCGGCCTCCTTTCCCAGCCAGTGTGGCATTGTTTACCAGTGAGCGGCGGTCCCCTCACTTGCTCCTACGAAATATTTCATAATATTCCATTCATTTTAGTGCTTGCAAATACTAAATAAGCTACCATGGCTCCAAAGGAAGCTCCTCGTGCCAAGTCTTTGGTAAAAAAGGTGAGAAATACGATTGAATTTAAGAAAAACATCATTGAACAATATGAAAGTGGTTTAAGTGCGGCCAAACTGGCCAGGATGTATAACAAACCCTATACAACCATATGTTATAGGTACGGCTTGGGAGGGAGTGACTACCAGGACTTTGAACTCTGCTTGGAGAAAATTGTGGCTAGACTGTGTCGACAAGAGGGATTTTGAAGGGTTTGGGGCTGACCCTGATGAGCCAATGTCTGTTGTTAAATCTATTGTGGCACTGGGGAGTTCCATGGGGTTGGATGTGAGTTTGGAGGATGTGGAAGACCACAACAAAGAGCTCACCACTGAGGAGCTGCAAGAGCTTCAGCAGGAAGAGCAACAGATCGCAGCTCAGAATCTTGCTGCAGAGGAGGAAGAGAGATGGAAGAAGGTGCCTTCTTCAGAAATTAAGGAGATTTTTGAAATGTGGAATAAGATGGAAAGATTTATGGAGAAACATCACCCTGACAAGGCTGTTGCAAGCCATGTTGGCAACATGTACAGTGACAGTCTTGACCCATTTTAGGGAAGTGTTAAAGAGACGCCAGAAACAGAGCTCTCTGGACAGTTATTTTGTGAGACAGGACTCCAGTCACTCTCAAGCTGGTCCTAGTGGTATTAAGAAACAGAGAAGAGAAGTAACCCCAGAAAAGCAATTGGTACCCGAGGTGTTGATGGAAGGGGATTCCCCTTCCAAACTGTAAATAATCCAATCTCTCTCCTCCTCAAGTCTCCCATACACTAAAAAGAATCGCCAATAAAGGCAAGTGTTATGCTGCTAATGTTTCATTCATCATGTCCCATTGTATTGTTTATGTATTACATCTATATTTCAGGTAAAAAATTGTTTTGTTTTAATACTTCTGGGTGTTAGGAACGGATTAATTGTATTTACATTACTGTATTTCTTATGGGAAAAATTGATTTGAAAATCGTAGATTTCGATAATACTGTAGTAGCACCTCCAGGAACGGATTAAATACGATAAACGAGGGACCACTGTACTCTGATAATTATACTTATGTATACCTGTACCTAAATAAACTTACACACTGTGCTGGTATGCAGGTACACATCAAAATCAGTGAGTGTGTCTTATGTCTCGAGACACCATATTAGTATTGATAACAATACTCAATAATTATCCCAGAGTCTCAATAAAAGTCATATATTACATTAATACGTATACACATTTTCATTAATCCAGCTATGATATTTTTTCAAAATTATATAATAAACATAATACGTAACAACTAAACATTAAGATTGACAGCACTCTAATTGCCAAACATAATGAGGGCAAATTTCTAGGCCTATACCTCGACAACAACCTGAATTTCAGCACCCATATCCAACACATATCAAAAAAAGTATCCAAAACAGTTGGGATCCTCTCCAAGATACGATACTACGTGCCGCAAAATGCCCTTCTCACACTATACCATTCACTCATTTATCCATACCTCACCTATGCTATTTGGGCTTGAGGTTCAACTGCAGCAATACACCTAAAGCCAATAATAACTCAACAAAAGCCGCAGTAAGAATAATCACTAAATCCCATCCCTGGCAACACCCCTCCCCCCACTCTTCATAGATCTAAACTTACTCCCTGTTCAGAACATCCACACTTACTACTGTGCAATCTACATATACAGGACCTTAAATTCCAATATTAACCTTGACCTAAAATGCTTTCTTGATAGTTGTGACAGGACCCACAAGCATAGCACCAGACACAAACATCTCTACGACATTCCCCGTGTCTGACTAAATCTATACAAAAATTCAATGTATGTCAAAGGCCCTAAAATCTGGAACACCCTACCTGAAAACTCTAGAACTGCAGACACATTCATCACCTTCAAAACTACCTTTAGAAAACATCTTATCTCCCTGATACACCCCGTCAACTAACTACATAAAAACCACCTGGTGGTCCACACTTACACTCACTCACTCACCCATTTGACTATAAACACAGAAATACGTATCTTAATCTTAAAATAATGATTCCTAACTAGTCATAAGTTTGCCTGTGATACTCCAATATAGAAACTATGTATTGTGCCAAAACAAAAGCATTCACATTGCTAAACTCACAAACTAGTATTTAGTCACTTAGTATTTAGTCAACTTACTCAACAATTTGTAATAATTTAGGGTTAAGAATTAATCTAAGTTTGCCCAAAATGCCTAGCCTTGCTAGGTGTTCTAGTGGCCCCCTCTGTAATTAGTATTTTATTACATGTAAACCACACAATAACCAAAATCTGTAAACCCTGCATTGTAATCCTTATAGAGAATAAACTTTGATTTGATTTGATTTGATTTGATTTGAAATTTGATTAATTTGATTTGATTTGAAATACACCCCCCAGTAGAATAAATCAACATAAATATGAGATGTGGTAACCAGACAACTTGTACGAGTGACAGCAAGAATAATATTTTCTCTAGTCCAACAACAGAGAAAATGTGTTTCTGGGGGTAACTGTAGAAAATTATTCCTTTCGTATGCCTTCACTCAGAGCGTCATTTCTTCTAAAAACGGTGTTACATGAGAATGGGAGTGTTCCTCTTTATTTATTCTACTGTATCAATGTAGAGACAACTTGTACACAGTGTTCCTCTTTATTTATTCTACTGTATCAATGTAGAGACAACTTGTACACAATGTAACTTGTACACAAACCAGATGTGTTCCTCTGGTTTGTTTACAAAACTCGCATACACCTGGTTTGTTTACATAAATCTGTGCCTGTTTCTCATGTACTCATTCTGTCTGTCTCTCATTTATTCATTTTATCTCGTTTACTCACCTCTGACTCTACATTAAGACTATAAATATTTTAAGGTAAGTAATGAGTGAACTGTATGTGCATTTTATCGCTCTGGGACACTTAAATGTCATAGAATATTATGTGTGGGTAGGGTGGCCTGGTATGGTAGCCTGGCTGACTACCATACATACCAAACTTGATTTCTTACAATAAATACTACTCATCTCACTCTAGATTAAGACTACAAATATTTTAAGGTAAGTAATGAGTGTACAGTGGACCCCCGGTTAATGATATTTTTTTCATTCCAGAAGTATGTTCAGGTGCCAGTACTGGCCGAATTTGTTCCCATAAGGAATATTGTGAAGTAGGTTAGTCCATTTCAGACTCCCAAACATACACGTACAAACGCACTTACATAAATACACTTACATAATTGGTCGCATTGGGAGGTGATCATTAAGCGGGGGTCCACTGTATTATATGTGTATTTTATTTTTTATTGTTTTTTAATACCTAGTTCTATTGCTAACTTAATATATGTTAGTGTAAACTTATTATCTAGTATTTATATTCATTTATAAGTGGGAAAAAAGGGTGTTCCACTTTACGGCGATTTCCGCTTTACAGCGGTGGCCTGGAACCTAACCTGCCGTGTAAGTGAGGCAATTTTGTACAGCATAATGTACAGTATCTGAAGGATTGGGTTGACCAGGAACAGTATTTAAAGGACTGGGTTGGCCAGACATAGTTTTAAGGAGAGGGGGGCGAGGTACAGTATTTACACACTAAATGCACAAATATTTTTATGGCTGTCTTGCAGTGTGAAACTCTTGCTTCACACGGCAAGAGTTCAGGTTCAATTCCCTGCGAGGATAGACACATTGAGTGTGTTTTTTCACACCAGTTGTCTATGTTCCCCATCAGTAAAATGGGTACCTGGGAGTTAGTCGACTGGTGTGGGTTGCATCCTGGGACAATAACTGACCTAATTTGCCCAAAATGCTCTGCATAACAAGCGATTTTCTTTGTAGCAGTATGTCACTGATGTCAGCCTGTACACCATGTACATGTACTTGTAGAAATAAAGACATTATTATATTATTATTAATATTATGAACAAAAAGAGAATTACACTTCCATACTTGTAAAGGTGTGAAGGAGACTGGCTGGCCCTCATGTAGTAGTTTCTCTCCCTCGAGGAAACAATATCTCGCAAGAGACTGTAGAAGGTGAGTTAATTCGTAATGCTGAAAGTCCAAGAATTCTGCCAATTCTCGAGGCAATGCATGGTGCATAAAGTTGATGATGGTCTGAAGAATGGTAATTTAAAATTACCTAAATGTTAAAATAGAAAAAATACATAGATTACAAACTCATACACAAATAACCTGCGCATAGGAGAAACTTATGACGATGTTTCGGTCTGACTTGGACCACTAATAAGTCACACTAACACATGAAGATAAGGGAGCCATTACGTAAATGAGAGGAGGGCAGAGACTAGTTAATGGCCCAAGTCGGACCAAAATGTCATCATAAGCTTCTCTCTCCTATGTGCATTATATCTGTATATTGTTCCAATATTGTGCCTTTTTGTTCTTTATTCACATGTTACAAAGTGTACACCCATCATTTATATCACCTGCCATTATTTAGTGCATTACTGTTATATTCATGTACAGGGGGAGCACTAAACCTGGAGGGGTTATACAGAACCTACAGAATAAGGGGTAGTCAGGTTTGACTCGAAGGGAAACATAACTCTAACTTCAAAGATCAGAGCCCTTTAATGGCATCATGGTGCTTATCTTGAAGGGACTCTTCAGTCCATTATTTAAATGCATACAGGGCACTCTATACAAATATTTACCAACACTTATGCAACATATGGGAATTTTTATTTAGGAAACGTTTCACCATACAGTGGCTTCATCAGTCCAATACAAAGCAGAAAGGTGTAAGGAGAGGAGAAGTTTGAGGTAATCAATCCCTCAGCCTCGAGTCGATGTGTTCAGTCCATCAATCTTGTAGAATGTACAGCATAGGGCCGTAGACATGGCTTATATACTGTCAGGTGAGGCGAAGCAGGAGGAGGCGGGGTCATAGTGGTACCATCCACTAGTCGAAGTAGGTCTTCGTCTAAAGGATGGACAAGTTTGAAGAATTCTTTGTATCAAGATCCCATGATGACACAGTGTCTGACAGTTGTGATGAATGGTTTTGAAAACTGACAAGTTGAAGATTGAGACACTTATGCAACATATGGGAATCTTTATTTAGGAAATGTTTCGCCACACAGTGGCTTCATCAGTCCAATACAAAGCAGAAAGGTGTAAGGAGAGGAGAAGTTTGAGGTAATCAGTCCCTCAGCCTCGAGTCAATGTGTTCAGTCCATCTATCTTGTAGAATGTACAGCATAGGGCCGTAGACATGGCTTATATACTGATGGTACCCCTATGACCCTGCCTCCTCCTGCTTCGCCTCATCTGTATATGTTTCAAGCTCAGTATGCCAGTCGATGTTATTCAGTGCTGATATAAAGTTATTAACAGCTGTCTTGTTATGTAGTCTGAAGGTAACTTTAGTAGTGTCTTGGGGCAATTTACCTAGGTTGGTTATGAGAAAGGTAGGGTAGTGGTTTGTGGTGTTGTCTGTAATTATGCCTGATTTTAAAGAGGATATGGTGTTAGTCCAGATGTGGTCTAATAAGGAGATACTAGTCTCAGAGATTCTTGTAAGTTCTGTTATTGTTGGTAGCAACAAGCAGTTGCTCATAGTGTTTGTGAATTCAGTTACTTGTGGGTCCTGGTCATGTATTAGATTTATGTTGAAATCTCCTGTGAGCAGCAAGTGGTCTTTGTTCATATGTGCATCAATTATCATGTTTCCTAATTTTTCACTAAACTGGTTAATGTTTGACTGTGGTACTCTGTAGATGTTTATCATTGTGAGGGGTTTTTGCAGGTCTTTTGATTTAAATTTAGCTATAATATATTCTCCATGTTCATCCCTTGTGCAAGAATTATTGATACATTCAAGTTGATCTGAATAGTCTATAAGTGTTCCATCCCCTTGCTGTTCTGTCCTACAATATGGCTGTGTAACCAGGAATGGCATAGACATCTTTAGTACCAGGCTTTAGCCAGGTTTCTGTGTGATGATTAACATACTGGTATGCAGGGAATTGAGTAATGCTGTGAGGTCATTGTAATGTTTGCTCAAAGATCTGACATTGTAATTAAAGATAGTTATGTTATTGTTTGCTCTGAGTAATGTCTTTGCTTGGTCTGCTGTAAAATAATTACAGTTGCTGTTTAATTCAAAAAACAGCCATACAGCATAAATGAACCAATCTGCAAGGCTTCATTTATGATACTAAAATTTATACAAAATTAAAAAAAATTAGATACAAGAAGTGTCAACCAAATAGCATCGGAAGTAAAGAGGTGGGACCAAGAACCCAACCCCGAGGAAACTTATTTGGCAATTACACACCTGTAAGTAGAGTTCCAGATCAGCTCTTCTTCTTTCTATAAATGTAGGATCCTTGTTGCCAATAATCTTTTTTGGTGGTAGAAGATCTCTAGCAACCCCATGGTTGCTAACTAACTTGTCATGAAGATCTGCGAAGGCATTGTAGCGTTGCTTTACAGACCAACGAACAGCTCCCACATTCAAGATAATAATATACAGTGTGACTCCTTCATTTTGTTCAGTACTTGGAATAGTGGCTTCAATATTATTTTCCCGACTTAGAGATGCCATCTGTTGAAAAATATGTACTGTATGTATGTATGTACGTATGTGTACACACACACATGCACACACACACAAGCACGTCAAGAAGTTAGAGAAAGTACAAAGGTTTGCAACAAGGCTAATCCCAGAGCTCAGGGGAATGTTGTACGAGGAAAGGTTGAGGGAAATCGGACTGACGACACTGGAGGACAGAAGGGTCAGGGGAGACATGATAACGACATACAAGATACTATTGGGAATTTATTTATTTATTTATTTATTTATTTATTATAAATTTGTGCACACATACAGAGGTACAAAAAAATACAGATAAGAGCAGTATGCCAAAGCCACTTATACTATGCATAGCATTACGGGCTGGCTTAAAATTAACTTAAGATTAATTAAGCAATGATGAAGTCAGTGATAAAACATTAATGTAAACAGATTACTATAAAGCACAAGTGAGTATTACAAAGACAGGTCATATGAAGGATTCTGTTAGGTAGTGTATTTAAAAAATAATAAAGTTAGATTGGGTTTTAGGTTTAACATTTATGTGATATAATTGTGAGAAACATTTAAGATATACAATTTATAAGGTTCAGTTATTCAGTATTTATTTGGTTTTGGGTGAGTAAGTGATCTTTGAGTAGAGACTTGAATTTATAAACAGGAAGTGTTTCTTTTATATTTACAGGTAATGAATTCCAGATTTTAGGGCCTTTTATGTGCATTGAGTTTTTGCATAGTGTGAGATGAACACGAGGAACATCAAAGAGTGATCTGTGCCTTGTGTTATGGTCATGTGTTCTGTTGAGGTTGGCAAGGAGATGTTTGAGGGGAGGGTTAATATCAGAGTTAAGTGTTCTATGTATGTAATAGGTGCAGTAATAAGTATGGATGTTTTGTATGGTGAGTAGGTTTAGTGTATTGAATATTGGTGGAGTGTGCTGCCTGTAGTGAGAATTTGTTATCATTCTAACTGCAGCCTTTTGTTGGGTAATTAGTGGTCTGAGATGGTTAACTGTTGTTGAGCCCCATGCACAAATTCCATAGGTGAGATAGGGGTAAATAAGAGAGTGATATAGGGCCAGGAGGGCTGACTGTGGAACATAGTACCGTATCTTCGATAGTATGCCTACAGTCTTGGAAATTTTCTTTAGAAATTTGTTGTATATGTGTATGAAATTTGAGTCTATTATCAAGGTGGATTCCTAAGAATTTTCCCTCTGTTAGCTTTGTGATAGGTGATCCGTTTATCATTATGTTAAGAGGGACATCTGTAGCTCTGTTTCCAAACTGAATGAAGTAGGTTTTGTCAATGTTTAGTGTAAGTTTGTTAGTCCTCATCCAGGTAGATATTTTCTGTAATTCGGTATTTACAGTATTGGCTAGTGTGACTGGGCTCGGGTGAGAGAAAGACGTATGTAGTGTCATCTGCAAATAGTGTGGGTTTGAGTAATTGCGAAGCATTTGGAAGGTCATTTATGTATAGGAGAAAGAGAAGAGGGCCAAGGACACTTCCCTGTGGGACACCAACTGTAATTGGTTGCGCAGAAGAGTTTGCCCCATTTGCGTACACATATTGGCTTCTGTTGCTGAGGTATGACTTGAGGTAATTGAGGGAGTGCCCTCTTATACCATAGTGTGACAATTTTACGTGGAGCAAGTCATGGTCAAACTGTATCAAAAGCTTTACGTAAGTCAATGAGATCCCCGTGGGACTTCTTTTTTCTCTATTGCAGTGTATATATGTTCTAGCATGTGTATAATAGCATCATTAGTATTTTTATTAGGCCTGAATCCAAATTGGCAGGGGTTGAGTATGTTCTGGGAGATAAGGTAGGAGTAGATTCGTTTATGAATTAGTTTTTCAAAGATTTTTGAGAGAGGGTGTAAGTTGGATATTGGCCTATAGTTATTCAACTCTGTTTGGTCTCCTCCTTTGTGGATCGGGGTGACCCTTGCTATTTTGAGTACTGTAGGGAAGGTGGAGGATTCAATGGATTTGTTAAAGAGTGTTGCAATGATTGGAGATAGCACTTGTGACACTTTTTTATATATAAAGGGTGGTAAGGTACTTAAATCTCCTGCCTTGTTTTTTAGTGCATTGATAATAAGGGAGACTTCGTATGGGTTAGTCGGAGCTAGGAACAGTGTGTTCGGGTGGTAGTTGCCGGTGAGGTAGTTATTTGGTGGGGTATCTGAGCTTGGGATTTTATGGGCAAGGTTTTGTCCTATAGTGGAGAAGAAATCATTGAGTCTGTTTGCTGTTTCTGTTGGTGGGAGTTGGGGTTCATCTGATTTTGCTAATTTTATTTCGCTATTTCGTGATATCTTTTTTGTTCCCAGAATTTCAGATAGTGTTTTCCAGGTCTTTTTTATATCACCTCGTAAGTTGGATAATCTGTTCTCATAATACAATTTTTTTGCCCTTCTTATCAGGCTGGTTAGGATTGACGAGTAACGTTTTGTTTGGTCTCTGGTTATGTGACCCATTCTGTACTGTTTTTCATATTGGTGTTTTGTATTTATGGATTTGAGAATGCTGGGTGTTAGCCAGGGACTGTTCAGTCTCTTTGCTGTCATCTGTTTAGTTTTTTTAGGGCAGTGCTTGTTATAGAGGTATTGGGTCTTTTTTAGAAAATTATTAATACATTCGTCAATATCTGTATAGATTTCTAGCTCAGTGTGCCAATCATGTTTGCTAATGCTGTTGCGAAGTTATTAATGGCTGCCTCATTGTGAAGTCTGAAGGTGACTTTATGTAGTGTCTTGGGGTAGTTTACCAAGAGTTGTTATGAGGAAAGTAGGGTAGTGGTCTGTGGTATTATCTTGTAATTATGCCTGATTTTAAAGGGGACAAGGTGGACAGAGATAGGATGCTCCAGAGAGGGGACACAGAAACAAGGGGTCACAACTGGAAGCTGAAGGACTCAGACGAGTCACAGGATGTTAGGAAGTATTTCTTCAGTCATAGAGTCGTCAGGAAGTGGAATAGCCTAGCAATGTGAAGTAGTGGAGGCAGGAACCATACATAGTTTTAAGAAGAGGTATGACAAAGCTCAGGAAGCAGAGAGGGAGAGGACCTAGTAGCGATCAGTGAAGAGGCGGGGCCAGGAGCTGAGTCTCGACCCCTGCAACCACAATTAGGCGAGTACAATTAGGTGAGTACGTACACACACACACACACACACACACACACACACACACAGAGTGGAACCTCGGTTTTCGTTTGCCCTGGTTTTTGTCGAATTCGGTTTTTCAAAGGCTTTCATCAAAATTTTGTCCCAGTTTTCGTTCATCACCTCGGTTTTTGTCGAGTTGACAGTGGTCCGCCATACCGAATGTATCTGCCCGTGCCCATACAAAGCATCCAAAGCATTCTGAGTCAGTCTGGCTTTTGTTTCTCGTCGGTACAGGGTGGTAGTGATGGTGGTTAAAGGGTGGCAGTGATGGTGGTAGAGGGTGGTAGTGATGGTGGCAGAGGGTGGGAGTGATGGTGGCAGAGGGTGGTAGTGATGGTGGCAGAGGGTGGTGTGATGGTGGCAGAGGGTGGTAGTGATGGTGACAGAGGGTGGTAGTGATGGTGGGGGAGGGTGGTAGTGATGGTGGCAAAGGGTGGTAGTGATGGTGGTAGAGGGTGGTAGTGATTGTGGTAGAGGGTGGTAGTGATGGTGGCAGAGATAACCTCTCCTCCCTCTCCCCTCCTCGCCATCTTCCATATGCCAACAACAGTCTTCAATAAAGGTAAAAGTGATGTTAAATGTTCATTTACCCATTTCATTAGTCCTTTATATTTATTTCTCATTGTTTTCTGTATGTAAAACTACAGTGGATCCCTGGTTTTCAGCCAGTGTGGAAATCGTACAATTAAGATTTCGAGCACTTTTTTCTCATCAAAATTTCCCCCCGGGTTTTGTACATTGGCTGGGAAACTGATGGTACCAGATGCGTCCACCTGGGCTGCTCATATGTTCATGACTCACTTTTGGGCACTTTAACCCTTAAACTGTCCAAACATAGATCTACGTTCATGCGCGTAGTGCTCTGAATGTAGATATACATTCGATTTTACATTCTTTCTTATGTAAAAACAAAGTAGATCTACATTTGGAGTGCTACGCGTGTGAATGTAGATCTATGTTTGGACAGTTTAAGGGTTAAATGTCTTATTTTACGTTAATATAGACATTTTCATTAATCCATCTATGATATTTTCTTCAAAATTATGTAAGAAACACGTTACATAGCATATAAACATGCAATGTTTATATGCGATATATGTTTAATAACAATCACTCTTGGGCACATTAAATGTCTTATTTTAGGTTAATAAAGATATTTTCATTAATCCATCTATGATATTTTCTTCAAAATTCTACTATAAGAAACACGTTCCATAGCACATAAACATGCAATGTTTATATGCTATGGAGGGATCGGTGGAGGGTAAACATTACGTTTTCTCTGGTCCAGCCTCAGAGAAAACGTGTATTAGTTTGCATTGGCCCAGTAAACGCACTTAATCGTACAGAAGGCTTTTGTTTACAATTCTTGGGATGAATTACTCATTACTTCTCCCTTTGTTTATAATGGCATCTAAAGGTAGTTGTTAGAAATGATTAAACTCAGTGAGCATGGTAAGTCGATGGTAATAATATGGCTGTAGGTTGCAGTGTATGTAGCTATATGCCTGGGATGTAGTCCCTCTGGGACTACAAATAAATACTATTCACCAACAAGAGTCTTCAATAAAGCTATGTAATGTTTATTTATCATTAAAATTAGTCATTTATATTTATCTCTCTTTGTTTTCTGCATGTAAAACTATAGTTATTCTCTATATAATGTATTTTTTGTTAATATTTTTAAGTGTCTGAATGGATTAATTGGATTTACATTATTTCTTAGGGGAAATATTACTTCGGTTTTCGGCCATTTCAGATTTAGGCCAATCTTCTGGAATGGATTAATTATAAAAACTAGGGGTCTACTATATAGTTATTCTGTATAAAATGCATTTTTTGTTAATACAGTGGAACCTCTACTTGCGAGTGCATCCACGTGTGAGTTTTTCCAAATACACATACGAGCAGTCAATGGGTTGATTTTTTGCTTCCATATGCGAGCAAAATTTCCATAAGCGAGCAGACCTCAAGGGAGGTTCCTACACTGGTGAGGGGCTCTTGCTCTTGATCTAGGGAATTGTATTTCATTTGTTTGTTGGACTATCTTATTGAAACTTGGGCAATGTATGATGGAAAGATGCTTCTTAGTGTACACCAAAAATGAAAGAAATCGGAGCATAAATAATGGAATTCACTTCTCAGCAATTAGCCACCCCTTACGGTATTTTCGTATGGTTTTTATGGTTGTATTCTCGTTTTTTTTGTCTCATTTGATAGAATGGAAGATATATTACAGAAATAGATATGATTTTGATTGCTTTCATGACGAAAAGTACCTTGAAATTGAGCTCAACGAGGGAGAAATGCTCGTTTGCTTGACTGCTCAAGAGTAAACAAATGACATCACTGTCCATTCCAATATGCAGTCATGAATGGGTTGACATTATTTATACAATTATTGGAATAAGGCATAACAAATCTTATATTTTTTGTGTGAATAAAAATTACAAATTATTTATACTGTAATAATAATAATAATAATAATAATAATAATAATAATAATAATAATAATAATAATAATATGTAAAATAATAATAATATGTACAGTGGACCCCGCATAACGATTACCTCCGAATGTGACCAATTATGTAAGTGTATTTATGTAAGTGCGTTTGTACGTGTATGTTTGGGGGTCTGAAATGGACTAATCTACTTCACAATATTCCTTATGGGAACAAATTCGGTCAGTACTGGCACCTGAACATACTTCTGGAGTGAAAAAATATCGTTAACCGGGGGTCCACTGTATAATAATAATACGTATAATAATAATAGTATAATAATATAATACAATAACAATAATAATATGTATAATAATAATGTACTACATAATAATAATTATAATAATAGACGACTTCAAAAGGCCATCACTAGATGGCAGTGTTTACCACAACAAAGAGGGAGCAGTTGTGGCCCCCTCTACCTGTTACATAATGATGTATTTTATTCATTCTAGAGTATGTATCACGTTTCTATGTTATTTATATTGTTTGTTATGTCATATTAGATGAACTGTGATAGATAAATAAGCCGTATAGATGATATTAGCGAAATTACTGGAGTACAGAATTCCACCAGAACGGATTAATTGCATTTCAATTAATTTAAATGAGGAAAATTGACTCTGTAAACGAGCAAATCCAGTTGCAAGCAAGGTCATGGAATGGATTAAACTCACAAGTAGAGGTTCCACTTTATATATACATATATATATATATTTATATACATATTTATTTATTATTCTTAAGGAAGTGCTAAATAATGGAAACCATTACTGAATTTCTTTGATTGGTCTCCAACCAAAACATTTAAAAATGGTTTCCATTCCCTCTAAACAGACAAGCCAGAAAAAAATTACGGTACCAATATAAGAAAGGAAAGAGAAAGAATTTCAGAAAGGAATACAGTAAAATAAGATTTTTATTTTTGTTTTGGAAAATCATAGCATACAATTGGGACAATGGTTTTTTTTGGGCAAATATATGTTTTAGACATGCAATGATTAATTATGTGCATTTAATCTAGGAGAATATACAATATTTCTAGCATTAATTTTGGTGTTGATGGGCACAAAAGCTTATGCCTTATTGAACCGTGCCTCCTGGGAGTATGGTAAAAATATACTGCTCAAAATTGGGCTAGAAATGAAGAGGAAACAAAGCTTCATCTGAAAACAAAAACAATATGCTCTCAACTAGAATAGCTGCATTCCCTAGCTTACACCCCAGCTGTCAGATATCCACTTACACTCCCAGCTGTCAGATATCCACTTACACTCCCAGCTGTCAGATATCCACTTACACTCCCAGCTGTCAGATATCCACTTACACTCCCAGCTGTCAGATATCCACTTACACTCCCAGCTGTCAGATATCCACTTACACCCCAGCTGTCAGATATCCACTTACACTCCCAGCTCAGGCAATAACAAAAGGCTTTTCTTAAACCTTGAAAGAGCTGCTGTAAAAGATAAATTTGTTTGGATTTTTTAACCCAGAGGGTTAGCCACCCAGGATAACCCAAGAAAGTTAGTGCATCACCAAGGACTGTTTGTCTTATTTCCATTGGGGTCCTTCAGTCTTGTTCCCTAGGATGAGGTCCACACCAGTTGACTAACATTCAGGTACCTACTTACTGTTATGTGAAAAGGGACAGCAGGTGTAAGAAAAGGTGCCCAACATTTCCACCCATGCCGGTATTATGCATTTTCGTTCTTCAGTGACACTAAGTGTGTGAGGCAAGTGCACTGCCAACAGAGCCACAGGATGCCTGATTAATTACCTACTAAGCCAATTGCCTAGAATGCATGATGAGAAACCTCCTGAGTGACAAGAGTGGGTGGGTGTGAGTTGAACCTGGCTAGCATGGGCCAATAGCCCTACTGCAGTTTTCCATCATTCTTGTGGGAGAAAATAGGGAAAATTCATCAGTGATGCCCAAGGCAGAGGTAGAGCGAGATGTCCCCACTCACAACTAAACATCGCAAGTCAGCAAAGAAGTTTCCTTCAAGCCTTGGAAACCTGCAGGGCAGAAAAAAAAGGCTGATGAATGACTCCCTAGATCAACTGCCCAGCAAGCTATGTATGACGAGAACAAACGTCCCGAAGAGAGACCGAGGGAATTTATCACCGATGCTCAGGACCCGTGAGCGAAACGTCTGCACTCCAGCAGCCGGCACGTAATATTTTTCCTGGTATCTAAAATACCGAATGCCAGTCATACCCACGCATCATTTACATTAATATAAGCTTTCCCGTGTAAGAAATCGTCATGACACAACTATCTCCTCATTGAAAACAAATGATTATGATAATGTTGGCAAAAGGAGGTTCATAAATACCCCTTAATTATCTCCAGCTTACCTAAATAATGAACTAAACTGAAAAAAAAAAAATACCTGGAAGACCCTCCTCTGTCAGGCTAAAAGTAAACAAACTTGCGATTTAAACTTCATAAGTTAATAAAATTAAAAAAAATAACTAAAAGCTAAAATGAACTGTCATAAGTTCTTGCATAAAGTTGAGACTATGGTAAGTTTAATAATATTTTGGGCAGGGAAAATAAAATTTATAATAATGTATCTGGTAATAAATCGTAACTTAGCTGCAAAGTAGCGATTCAATTTTACAAATTAATAAAATTCAAAAAAATGAAAGAAAAAAAAAGTTATCATAGTTTTTGCATGATGATGAAAATTCTGTAACTTAACCGGTATTTTGGATAGGGATGAAGAAAGTTCATAATAATTTATCCGGTTATAAATCGTAAGTCAGCTGGTGGTGAGGCTATGTGTGAGTCTACGCTAAGATGTACTTTCTTGTTTTCTGAAAGAAATATGCTTTATCCATCTCCCTAGTCCCCGAGTGTACCACTGATAGGTTTCAGAATGTTTAGAGCGTATGCTGCAGCATGATTTTACTATGTAGATAAAGACAATGAGCAGTTTAGGACATTGATGGGACACTTCCCCGGAGTGGCATCTTCAGTACTAGGACAGTGGATATATATTGTGCCTTTTTTTTTTGTTATTACTGGATATATATACTTGAGGTGTATGTTTCTCACCATGTATACACGAAGAGTCTACTATAATCACTATTTTAGGTATTAAAGTGTTCCTGCTTTAATCCCTATTCTAGGTATTAAAGTATTATTGTTACTGCGTAGTGGATAGATAAGATAAGATAAGATAAGATTTCGTTCGGATTTTTAACCCCGGAGGGTTAGCCACCCAGGATAACCCAAGAAAGTCAGTGAGTCATCGAGGACTGTCTAACTTATTTCCATTGGGGTCCTTAATCTTGTCCCCCAGGATGCGACCCACACCAGTCGACTAACACCCAGGTACCTATTTGCTGCTAGGTGAACAGGACAACAGGTGTAAGGAAACGTGTCGAAATGTTTCCACCCGCCGGGAATCGAACCCGGGCCCTCCGTGTATGAAGCGGGAGCTTTAGCCACCAGGCCACCGGGCCTTGAAACCCCCATGAACCATTAACCTACTCTTTGATCCTGGTAACTTAGTCTAGGACTGAAGAAGCCAGTAGTGGCGAATAATTTCCTCAATGTCTTGAGCTGTTTGTGTTTGCAGGGGTCGAGTCACAGCTCCTGTGCACAGGACCCTAGTGGAAATAAGTCACTGACTTTTTGGGTTATCCTGGGTAACCTTCACATATGTTGCTATGTATGAAAATTTATGTAGCTATTTGTGTACCTATATTTGAATAAAGTTACACAGGTCACTATGCATACACTGTCCTTGTGGGTTTAGCTCTTAATTTTGATTGTATCGCCAGCTGGGGTATTACATATGACTATAGTTAACTGCGTAAGAAATCCTACTTGTTACTCTGTCTAAATTTCAAGTAACATTTAAGCATTAGGATTAGTTTGCCAAAATGGAAATCAGTCACTTCATCTGACTTTTTTTTTTTGGGTTATCTTAGGTAATTTAGACACATGTTACTATGTATGATAAATATACTTATGTGTACCTGTGCTTAAATATACTTTCTTGCTTGCCAGTGGCTTTCTTTTGTGCCTAATAATGTTTTATTACACGTAAAGTACATTATTTGTATGGCATAAAGAAATAAAAAAAAAGTTTATGTAAGAAAAATTGTAATCATCCATTTTTTTTAAATGTTACTTAATAAACTTAATTACTTATTCTAGCTGGACTTGAGAATGGGCTATGGCAACTCCACAGAGCCAAGTTAAACATTGCAGCTTTAAGATTTTGAGCTAATTAGGTGTCATATGTATATAATTCATTTAGCTATGTAGCTTGAATTTCCAAGCGAAAACCCTTGATCCAACTTAGTCATGGGAGGTTCCTTGATGCTGGTGAGGGGCTCTTGATCTAGGGAATTGGTTCTGTGCTCCAGTTCCCTGAATTAAGCCTGAATACCTTCCATCTCTCCCCCCACAGGCTCTATAATCCCTACGGGTTTAGCACTCCCCCATGATTATAATAATAGTAATAATCTTGATCCATCTAGCTGGATCGATCCTCCCATGTATCAGAAATCTTTCCCATGAAGATAGGCCGAAGGTACTGAATTTTTGCTCTGGAGAGGTGTAGGGTTATAATTGAAGAATGCTCTTCGGTGAAAATCGGACGTTATTTTATATTTTATGGTACATACAAGTTATTGGCTATACGACCCTTGTGGGCTTAGCACTTGGTTTTAATTATAATAATAATATGATTTAACTGCATCGTGATATAGTTTTTCTTGTCATTTTGGTATTAGCAAACAAATTTATTGGCACAAATAACACTGTCAGCACTAGTCACTGCTTAGTGTTATGGCCAGGCCAAGTACAGTAAATGTAAGTAGAGGAGCAGTGCATGCAAAGAGGGCCGATGGTAGAATAAGGTTAAGTTACATTAGGTTTTTAAGGCTGAGGTGGGCAAGTTTCATGAGATTTGATTACATTTCTTACTCTTTGCACAACATAATACTGTCAGTAATGTAAAATTCATTCAGTATTTACAACTGAATATATATATTGCTTCCAAAATCTGCCAAAGAGAAGTGTTCAATGACTGTATCACTAAACATAGAATTAGGAGGATATGATTGAAACATAATGAAATAATAAAGAGGATATAAATAATGTGATGAAAATATCTGACCAAGACAGAATCCACAGCAGTGGCTTAGATTATTAGGCATATTTAACCATTGTTTTTAGTTACCTTCATTTTGATTTTTATACAGTACAGTATAGTACTTTAGGTTAACTTCTAATGTATAGACCCAAGGAACACTTCTGTGACAAGGTTGTTTTCCATGTGAGTGATTATTGATATGCATTATATTTATTTCAGAGTCTTCCTGGGAGCATGGGCAAAAAACATAAACTTCACGAGAAAGGTAAAAAACGGCGAAGAGAAGATGGATACTCCGATGAAGAGGAGAATCTTGAGCTAGAAGGTGTACCACAAGCATCTACACAAAATGTTGAAGTAAGAATTTCACGTGGTGGCTAATTTTGCTTTAGGTATACAGTAGGGCCCCGCTTTACAGCATTTTGCTTTACAGTGTTCCGCTAATATGGACATTTCAAATTAGGACCAAAACTCGCTATACGGCTCCCCCACCTAACTTTTTAATATGGCCACTGCACCCCACCTGGTTTATTTGCATTCTCTGTGAGCACTGCGTCTCTCCATTATGTCTCGAAACTTTCCAAAATTTCAAGTGTTTTTAAAAGTTATTTCATATTTTATATATACACTCTGATAATTATATTTATGTATACCTGCACCTAAATAAACTTACACACTGTGCTGGTGTGCAGGTACACATTAAAATCAGTAAGAGTGTCTTATGTCTCGAGATGCCATATTAACAATGATAATCACGGAGTCTCATTAAATGTCATATATTACATTAACATACACATTTTCATTAATCCAGCTATGATATTTTTTCAAAATTATATAATAAACATGATATGTAACATATAAACATGATAAATACACCCCACAGTAGAATAAATTAACATAAATATGAAATGTGGTAGCCAGACAACTTGTAAGAGTGACGGCAAGAATAATGTTTTCTCTAGTCCAACGCCAGAGAAAATGTATACACTGTAATATTACTGGGGGTAACTGTGGAAAATTATTCATTTCGTATGCCTTTACTCAGCGTCAGTTCATCTAAAAATGGTGTTACATGAGAATGGGAGTGTTGCTCTTTATTTATTCTACTGTATCAATGTGGAGACAACTTGTACACACTGTAACTTGTACACAAACCAGATGCGTTCACCTGGTTTGTTTACAAAATTGACTAGCAAATTGCTAGTCAATTATTACAAAAAAAGTAATTTTTAAATGAAGATATGGTAAGATTTACTCCTTTTGTAATAAAGAGTTCGGGATACATAAATACACACATTAATATAAATTAATCTTTAATATATAAAAATCAACTATCTTTGGTCTAGAGGTATTTGAACTATGATATTTGTACATGTTACTATAATAAATTATAATTAGCATCTAACTAAAATAATTAATAACCCTACACAGGGTACCACTTTGACACTACTGTCACTATATATATATATCTCTATACTAAATAATAAATTAAAAATTTAACATTTTTATAATAATAAATTACAATCAACTGCCTCTCACGACACGAAGTCAGTCACACGACACTGTTCAGTGTACACTACAACCAGGCCATCTTCAGTGCCCCACGACACCCTTTTCATCTCAGTGTTCCACTACGGTCCTGTGCATATCTCAGTGTTCCACTCCATCGTACGTCCCTCAGTGTCACACTACGGTCCTGGCCCAGTTCAGTGTAACACTCCAACCTTTTCTTCATGTAATGTCCCACTAAACAGCATCTGACGACTCCGGCCCACAGTTGATCAACGTAGACGGTGAGTCCACAGACATCACCGGTAGTCCAGTAAATCCTCTCCAAAGGCGGTTGACACACCGCTAGCCGAACACCATGCTGCAAGCTCACTGAATGCGGCCGTCAAGTAACTGAGGCCAACAGACTCAGTGAGCTGCGGTGAGCGGTTCTTCTAACGCCAGTAGATAGGTACGATTCGGTGGTCAGGTACCTACTGCATAGACGTGTACCCTGAGGAGTTCAGGTACTTAATGTTGAAGCCAGTAGACGTGTACCCTTCGGTGGTCAGGTACCTACTGCTTAGGTGTGTACAGCGAGGCGCTCAGGTACATAATATTTCTAAAGCCAGTAGACGTGTACCCTTCG